CTTCTGATAAAAATCTGGAAATGTTAGAAATAGTTGATTTAGAAATAACTAGTCCTTCCAAATGTATTTCTCAGAAGAATAATTCTAAGTTTACATGGTATATGTGACTAAACCAGGCCAAAGTAGTAATTAAAAAGTTATTAGAAATGCAAAAGTATTTCAAAGAAATAATCAGATGTAGAATTTCTTTCAGATTTACACTACATGTTAATTGTTCTTTTTCATGGAATGTAAACATTTCTCTGTTAGAGAACAAAATCTGTGTGCTACTGTGTCCCTCAGACTAGTTGCCATTCTTTAATGAAGTTTTCATGTAGTTGTTGGAGCCCTGTCCAGCCTTGAAGAGTGTGTGTTATATTTGTATGTTACACCATCTCAAGGACCTGTGCTTTGTTCAAGACTGTAGCACTTTATCTGATTTGTGTCATTATTAGCCTGCATATGTGGGAGCTGTTGCCTCTCTTTGTTCATTTGTATCATTGGAAAAAACAAGGATGAAATCCTGTCGCGAAGTCATCTCTGAAAATCACTTGCATATTTATATTACTCCTAAAGTGATCTTACTCTATCAAGAATTACTTACTACCACATCTGCTTTACTCATAGCTGGAATATATCTTAGTGCACTTTGCTTACTTTCATGTCTAATATGAAACTGAAAAATTATGGGAATCTTTTTGTATTCCTAAAAGAATAGAACTCTTAAAGAGAGTCAAATAACAGTGTGTTTTTGCAAAAGGACTTCTTTGAGTCATTTCGTTCTTCAGTGTTCTCATGACGATCACTTGCAATCTGGGGGATCGTTGTAGAAGAATAATATCTCAGTCCTTTTTAACTGTCCTTTTTTTAGCTGTCCTTTGGTAGTCACTGGCATCTTTTGCAACAGATTTTGATGGTGTCAGAAGAAAGAAAAGTAGTTGTTTTGTTTTGAAGTTGTAGTGAGACAGTGACTGTTAGTTTCAGCTGGGATAAGACATCACTGTTCTGCAAAGAAGAGTTCTTGCTCTCCAGCCATTAGTGTGCCAGCTTCTTTCCTGGTGGGAATGCAGCTACTTATGCCATTACTTATTAGTTGGGTGGGAAGTAGAGATGAGACCTGAGCTAGTTAGTTAAAATTAACCCAACCAAAAAAATTATTATCATCTGATTTCATTGTAAAAACTGTCATGGTGCATAATGGAGACTGTACTTGGCAGGTAGACAGAGGAACGGTTATCTGGGGCAGAAGTGAATGCTTGAGAACATGGGAATGGGAGGGCTCTTTTCTTGGGACAGTTCTGAGATAATGTAATCTGAAATAAATTGTGAAACTGTGCTGTGAAATTTGGAATGCATTCCATTTATACCTTGAACTCTTAACTTTTAAGATGTAAAGGTAGTATTCTCAAAAGAAACCGAAGAGCTGAAGTTTCTTAAAGCACCATTTTGAATAAGTCAGCTCTTCATACTGAAGGATTTTGCAACAAAGAAACAGTAATGGGGAAATACCGAACATCAGTGGTATAAAGACAGTGACAAAAGAGTGAAATTTATCTTTTTCTAGCAGTATTTTTGGTTGAGGGTGTTCCTGTTACAAAACTTGCATTTTAATTGGATTGTAAACTGCTGAATGGCTTGTAAAGTGTTTTGTAAGGAATTTGGGGAAATGCTAATTCTTGCAAACTTTTTCAGAGACAAGTACTGCTTTTGTCTAGTTTTTACTCTTATGCCCATTTACAAGCCAAGGTTAATACACCTTCATTATAAATTTAGTATAATAACCAGTAAATCTCTCTTCTGAATTTACAATATGCTTACTCTAATCCTTCTGGTAACTCCAATTCTCATTACTTCAGTCCATATGCTCTTCTTTTCTCCAGTGCTCTGGGAACAGATAGATCTAGAAAATCAAATTAACTCCAAGGTCAAAAAATGAATGCTCAGAGCTGAAGAGCTCCTTTCAGCTGGGGTTGTTGCAGCATTAGATTGAAATTTTTGAAGTTTCACTGTGTTGCTAATAATGAAGAGACCTTACCTGCAGGGTCTGTGAAGTGAACCTAAGTTCAAGTGGGTATACATTTAATGTAAACTACAGTAGAAACAAAGGGGAAACTCTGGACTTTTTATGACCAGTCAGTAAAATAGAGAAAAAAATCTACTAAGCCCCTCAAAACTCATAAAATGAAAAGGTGACACTTTCCCTTAAGATGTCTACAAGCAAATTCCTTAGCTTTTTTTCAGTGAACTAAACAGGACTTTAATAACAATAAAAAAAAATCAACCAGCTATGCAGAAACATTTGACAGAAAGTTCTTCATTTTTAGTCTGAATAATGTGAAGCATGCCCCATGTCCTCTGATTTTTTATTTTTTAAAATTTTATATGCTTTTCAAAACCCATTAGAGTAGAATATGTATGTCTAAGTATGCCTTACACCAAATTGCCATGAAGTGCTCATAAATTACACATTTGCAGATGACAAGTCTTGCAAGTAGAGTGGTTCATCCAGCTACAGTGCCAAAACAAGACATGAGCAGCAATTGGATTTTCTGATTTCTGAAGCATGCAATTACTCCTGTGTAAAAAAGGAAGCTGTATGTGTGCCAATAATGTATTAAGAGATGAAATTTATTTACTATCATCATTATACCATGAAGGTCTGCCTTTTACAGACGGTAATAAATTCATTCAGCTTTTGTACTAGCATACTACATCATATTTAAGACCTGGTATTGCAGATGCAGACTAGCTGAAGCAAACTGATGATGAAGATTCCGATTAGCGTTTTCAGAATTTTTTTTTTTCTGCCATGAAGCCAAATGGATATGAATTTCTAGAGACTTTAAGGTATAATTTTTAGTTTTTGAGACAGAAGTAACAAACGTGAGTTTTCAGAGACTTTAAAGTTCTTCTAGGCCACACTTGCCACAGAGTAAAATCCCCTTGCTTGTTTTTTTTATGACTAGTTGATGCAGACGGAAACTAAGGTGAAGGAGAGGAGGATAATGAAACTAGGTGTAGCTTGCTCTCACTTCCTCCTTGACCACTGGTGCTTCACTGATGCTGATTCTTGGCACTGTCTGGTGCCTTCTCCTTTCAACTTGCGTGTGCTAGATCCAGGAGCTAAAGAGATGCTGTACTGTTCTGCAGTCTAATTTTAGAGAGATGTGCTATTTTGCCTTTGAAATATATTGCATGTCAACTTGCAGAGTGACATCAGACCAAGACATATCTGTTAGTCCATGACTAACTTTTCTGTTATTCTACTAGTGCATCTGTAATGAGTACCGGATTTGACAGGGCAAAATTATCTTATAGTGTGACAACATAAGCAAAAGACATGACAGAAGTTGAATTTAAATTTGAGTTAAAATAATCTGAGGATAAAAAAATGTGCTCGTCTGAACCAAAATGTGAAAACTGTGTAAATCTGGGATAAAATGAGTGACAACAGTTGTTCCTAGTTAATCTATTAGGAGAACCTTTCTGTAATGTTGATGTGTGAGGTTTATCATGCAATCATAACTTCCAGTGAGTGAATTTTAAATAAGATAATTTTGATTCAGAAGCCAGTTGGAAATGAGCCTTTAGGTAGGAAAGGAGGGTGAAAATATGCACACTACTCACAGAAATGATGAGGATAGCAGCCAAAGAAGCAAAAACTGTGAGTCTTGGAATTTCTTGATGGTATTCAGAAGAGATTCTTCTATGTTTATATATTTATATATTTATACTACCTATAGTAGTTTAATATCAGATAATGTTTCTTTCCTAGAAAGCTTTATGGACTCAACAGAGGAAAGACTGTGGTCCCAAAGTCTTGAGATGCAGAAAGGGCTGTTTTTCTGTGCAGACTGTTTGCCCTTCGAGGCGCAGTGATAATCTTCCCACTTATCATCTGGCTCTATGATTCCTTTTGTATGTCTTCCTATCCTCTTTGTTCTCCTGCCAGAGTTCCCAAACTGCAAAGACACAATCAGTGTAACGAAAAGTATAAATTATAAATTGGTAACTTAACATCAGCAAACTTCACAGGGTGCATGTGCTCCCACTTCTGCAGTGATGTAACTCTTTAGGTTTGCTTTGAAGTGAGGAACTCAGGGATAGCTCAGTTACTTGGACAAGCTCAAATAGTAATCTTGGGAAACTTCATGCCTTTCTCAAATATGGATGAAAAACTGACATAAGACAATGCTCAGGTATGCCAGTTTGATATTATGATTTTTGTGACTGTAGACCTGAGGCATGGGTTTTCAGTTCGCATGGGATACATGTGTGCATGTCCTAGTGCTTTAAAGTGTTACAGCACTTTGCTGTCTCATAAAGCTGTGATCACACTTAAGAGAGGAGAACTTTGCTTTCTGTCCATCATGTTGGATGTAGATTCAGTAGGACTGAGTCAGATTACCAGACGTGTTGTTTGATTTTTAGTAATGTAACCTAGTAAGCAGCATAAAAGCTAAGAATTTCAGGATACTGAGGCTAAAACCTAGTAATGAGTATGAGACACTCAATTATTTTCATCCAGAAGAACATGTAAGTATGTAGGAAAGTAGTAAGAGTTTAAATAGCCTATCTCACTTCACATACCAGTGATTTTAATCCAATGAGAATGAGCAGATATAGGAATGTAAGCAGAAAGAAAATTGATGAAGCTGTAGAAATGGAAAAAGGCAAAGAAAATGTAGTAAGTAGTTTTTATGTACTGCTTCTCATAGATAAAAGGTTATTTTTGATAGAGGATGTGGTCTGATGCTTGAGTAGTTTCTTTTAAAGAATTTTTCCCTGAAACCTATTGTCCAGTAAAGAACATTATGAGGGGGTTTTTGTGTCTAAATGCCTTGAATGACAGATGTGAAGGATATTTATTAAATGCATAAAGAGTTCAGTGTTACATTTTGAGTTGTGTTATTTGTGGCTAATGACTTTTCAGTTTTTCAAAGCAGCTTGTGTGTAAATCTTCATAGTTCCCGGAATCCTATTGCCAGTAAAAATTAACAGAGTTTCTTTGATTGTTTTAGAGGTGTATTTGATGCTTCCCTCAAAATGGCTGGGTTCTATGGACTGTATACTTGGCTGACTCATACTATATTTGGAATTAACATAGTCTTCATACCATCTGGTAAGAATTTGGACAATTATAACATATTTATAAATAATATCACAGAATTATTTGTTGTACAAAATCAGAAGGATTCAGTGTTAATGATAAGCTTAGTCTAGTCTTAGAATATGGCCATGGGTAAGGTGGAGAGAAGGCCCTTACTGCTGTCTTATCACTGAGCCTTGCCTTTTCCTGTTTTCACAACACACTTCCTGCCAGCTGTTTTACTGTTTCTGTCTCTTTCTTTTCCTGGATGTAATTCTTTCTCCCTTGTATTCAGTCCAAGTCTTCTCAGGTTTTAAGTTCATTCTGTCTGTCTTGGCTTCTGTTTCTTTCATAGTTGACAGGTGCTGATTTTTCAAGATGCCTAAATGCAGGAAGATGTGGTATCATGAAAATGCATGATAAAGGCATACTCCTTCTCAGTACTGTTGCCTGACTGTATTACCAGCCTCTACTTTTCTTTTATTCATTGATCTTTGCTTTGGAAATGGCCAATGAAAAATCTTCTTCCCTGTTCCTCTTTTGCCTCTCTTCCTCTAAAAATAGTAGTAATTTCAAAATGTTTGTCTACAAGGAAACATAAGGGGAACATAAAGCAAGAAATCCCAATATAGCAGGAAATGGCTGTATTATAAAGTGCAACTGCCTTAAAGGCATTGGTTGTCATTAGAGATACTTAGAAAGAAATCAGTCTTTTTCTTTCAACTGCATGCAAAATCTTAAAAATTTTTGCTTTCTGGTTAATGAGACAAAATAAAAAAAAAGAGGGGAAAAAATGCACTCAATTGTGTTTTGTAGTATGCTAAATTAGAATGGCAGCAATACTGTGTCGCTTTAGATTAAAACGGGTATTTCAGGTGGGTATACACCTGTGTGTACATGTTTGCATAAAGAAATATGTAAGTAATAAATTTTATGTTTGCCTGGTTTCTCATTATTGTGGTTGTTGCAAGAGATAAAGTAAGTTAAGGGGAGACTTGGGCTCATATACTTTCTTACGCACTACTTTGAACTTTTGTAAAAGTTTAAAGTGTACGTGATGGGTATAATGTCAAATTTTTCTGAGTTGGTGCCTCTTTTGGGAGTAACTCCTGACTGTCTGTTGCTGAAGCTCTTACATATGGGAAATAGTGTAATTTTCTTTTTTCCTAAACCACAGCTATAAAACTCCAAGAGCCTCATGTGGCACTTTTTCAATGTCTTATTTAGAGCAGTTGATAGAAGTGGGACTTACTGGTGTGGCAAAAGTGTCAGAATTTAACTGTAAATATATTTTTGAAAAATGTTTCTCTGTCTTTTTCTCACTTCTGCTTCTGTGTGCTCTAGCATTAGCAGCAATCCTTGGAGCAGTGCCATTTCTGGGGACATACTGGGCAGCAGTCCCTGCAGTCCTAGATTTGTGGCTTGTGCAAGGACGGGGATGCAAAGCCATTTTGCTCTTGGTTTTTCACCTCTTGCCAACTTATTTTGTTGATACAGCCATTTATTCAGATATATCAGGGTAAGTACATAGAAGACTTTTTAAAGTTAGCATTGTAAAAATTATTGACAATCACTGATGCCTTTAATTAAACTGATTTTTCTGAAGCATGCAAAACAGTATCTTCAAGCATAGGGATAAGTGCAGTGATATCACCTCATAGTAACAAGTTTTACTGGCCTCAGTGCCTTTATTTTCCCAGGCCTCTTTTCTGTGAACTTTGACACTTCAGAGGTCTTGAACTCAGCATCAGCAAAATTAACTGTTTCGGTTGGGATTCTTAGAATTAGTTTACCTTTTTGGACTAAAGGTGTGTGTAATATTTTACTTTATATCCTCTAACGCCAAATGATACTGCAGGACAAACAAAACCATGAGCTAGTTAGGGACCTGAAAAAATACTTTAATTTTTCCAAATGGATTGTAAGAATTTTGAGGATTTTTTTAGAGACAGCCTTTGTGTTATGTTACCATAACCCAGTGCAAAAGTCTCTTGAAATAGCAAAACTCTCTGGAGATGGGCTTCTCCTGAGATAGCAGCCAGTGCTGTTTTTCTATTGTAGGTGGTAGGCATAGATTTCTTGAAAAAACTTAGTAGATGTTTGGCTGCTCTTTTGACTTGAAATGTCACCTGGTTTTGGCTTTGAGGTCGTACACAGGGAAACAAAGTCCAAGCGATGGAGACAAAGTCAGCGTTTGCAGTTGTGTGTGTGGAGTGCAACAGAAATGTTCGCTAACATTTTCTGCAGCTGAATTATCTGTGAATCCTTTTATTTGACTCAGACTAGAAGATAAAGCAGCACAGTTAAACAGAGCTGGCAAAGATACGAACTGTCAAGTTTTCCATGTACAAGACATGTTCACAAACATGTACAATATAGATATAAAGTTTTACTTCTCTAGTTACTCTCTGAATCCAGGACTTCATGATCCAGACTTGGTTATGTGTTGATCTTTATTACAGGAGAATTAATGTAGAATAAGGACATAAGGTGTTTAAGTTCTGTGTTGTTAGAAATTAATATTTTTGTTCACCAAATATAATTACACTGAACGGAGAGTACCTAAGGATAATATGCCCAATATTAATACTAATTTTCAAAGACTCTGGCTATAATTATTTTTCCTTAATTTAATCTAACAAGTGAGGTATAATCAAATTACATTTTTTTTCCAATGATAAATCATGGATAAATTTAAGGCTAGTAGCTATTTAAACAGCCAATAATTCTTCTACTTACTAGAATACATTTTTTTGAGTGTAGGGGATGCAGACTCTGTTTACTGTCCAGAAAATATATGGGACAGGAATAGATTTTCTGACAGTAGAGCAAAATTGTATTCTTCCCATTAAATAGAACAGTAAGCATCATGCTGTCTTGTAGATTAGATTAAACCTATTTGAAATAGCTATAATTAGGTTATGCAGGGTTTTCTAAATGGATTAACTTCATATGGTAGTCCTATTTGATCAGGTGATCTGTTGTTTAATTTAGCAAACTAGCCAGAAGAACATTGAAATTGATGCAAATGCTGAGAAAAAAATATTTGAAGTGTTTAAAGATTTATAAATGAATCATGTGGGAGAAACATAAAATTATAAGGTCAAGTTTGTCCCCCCAGAAAAACAATCTGACTTTGCCAGTAGGTTAAGTTTGATCTAGGTGAGACATGACTGAGGTGTGTCTCATTTAATAGGTCATGTTTCATGGTTTCATTTTGCATGGTCTCACTTTGCACACAGTTGTGATGAAGGCAAAGACTTAAAATGTGAGAGTTGAGTAGAAGTCAGCTCCACAGTAGGAACCTCAGAAACTGCTGGGACTCTGAACTGACTAGCTGGTGTTTTCAGTGCATGACACTCAAAAATTTGGGAGAACGTCTGGAAAATGGCTTGCTAAGTTTCAACTGTAACTTTTCTTATACAATTCCATATTGCCAGCATTATTTTGGCTATAAAGAATGAAGGATGGTGAACAAGTTTTGTGTAAATGTTGTTGGTAGGATTCACATTTTGCACCTGAATTGAGACATGGAAAATGAAAATGGCCTGGTTTACTTGATGCCATAATAGCTCTTATCGAAAGCTTATCAAAAAGCTTTATCAAAAGCTGATCAATAGCTCTTATCAAAAGCCTATCAAAAGACCCAACTTTCTAGTAAATATTGATATGTGGATTCAAATCTGGTTTTATTTTGCATCTGAAAACATGAGAAACTAATGATAACAAGCACTCAGTCTAAAAGATTTTTTAATAACAAAAAGGGGAAGACATGGCTACTTATTTAAAGACTGTGCTAATTGTTCTTTGAAATATGTAATCCAAGTTACCATCATTATGTAAATTACCGTCAGGGGTGCTCATAATATGTGTTGCTAATTGTGTTAAAATTTAACAGTTCTTGACCATAAAGCACGAACAGTCTTTGTAAGCAAGCATCTTTCCATTCCCAAAATGGAAATGTTTTTGCTGTTAGCTCCTTCAGACATTCTTCAGCAAATGTCTGTAAAGTAACTACTCCATTGTGGTTATTACCAGCATTACATGCTACAGTAGCGTTTGATTTGTTGTGCAAATACAGCACAGAATACAGATTGGAACATTTGTGCAGTCATTCAAACAGCAGTTTATAGAGTAAATATGGGTATCTACAGCTAGCTGTGTCATTTTCTAAGCTTAATAAAACTTTATTATTAATTCACATTTCATAATGCATAATACTCTGTTGTTCCTAATTTAATTTTATTCTTCTTGTGCCAGAGGTGGTCATCCTTACCTGACAGGTCTTGCAGTAGCTGGTGGAGCATACTACCTGGGACTGGAAGGAGCCATCATAGGACCAATTCTACTTTGTATACTTGTGGTTGCCTCCAACATATATAGTGCCATGTTGGTGAGCCCAACAAATTCAGTGCCCACTCCCTCACAAGCGACATGGCCATTACAGATTTACCGGTGAGCTATAAATGTCTTACTTGGATGCATTATGTTTTTACACAGTTATGTCTGCATAGGTATAGAGAATGAATGCATGAGTTTTATAAAAGAGTATGCATTCACATCTGCATGAGTACTGGAGTATTTGGAGAGAATTCAGCTATCCTGTATTCTAGAAATGAAAATTATGGTAAAGTAAAACACTCACTGGAACTTGTATACTTGAAGTGTTTGTTTAACGTCTCTCAGCCTCTTACAGAAGGCTCTTTCAGAAAATTCACTGATGGTACTTCTGTGTCCTGTAATTTATATGTTGCTTGTGTGCTAGGAGATGATTGAACATCCTTTTTTTCTCATAAAACTATTATTATGGATATCTGCAGACATCCACAACAGATATCTAATGGAGTTCTTTGTCCTTAATAAAGGAACTGTCTGAAAACACTGTATTTTTATATGTTAATGCAAAATATAAATACTGCAGAATATAACTAAACATACCTAGATTTTAAAAATGTGATAATATTCTGTACCATTATGTCATTAAAAGTATGATTCTCTAAATATTATCATTGAAGTTACTGAATTTGGGATGTAGAAATGTATCTTTAAACTGTACCATTAAGGAATGGAATGGATAAACTCCTAATTGAATAACTAATTACATTAGTTGGAAATCACATTGTGACGGTGTTAGTGACAGCAGCCATTTAAATGTCTCTACTGTCTTATTAAATTATACAGGTTTAGCTCATTATACATATATCTTAAAGGGGATTCTCTGCTTATGAGAAATTATTCATGTGAATAAGGCAAAGGATTATGTTGTCATCTTTCATCTGGGCAACTTAGGAGAAAAAAACGCTAATTGGACCTGTCTGTACTCTCTGACCTGTAGAAGTTACATTCCAAGACTTACCATCTATGCCATAGACAGAGCTTCCCACGATATGCACAAAAATTTCTATGGGTGTTTGTTTCCTGTTTAATTGGTAGGAAATTAGTTATTTGTAACCACTGGGCAGATTTGAGTCTTACTTTGCATTTTCTTTCCCCCCCCCCTCAACCCCCAACTCCCAGGTCATCTCGAGAGAGTCCCGAGGAGATGAAAATGTCTTCAGAGTGATGAAGGTGCTGGGATGTATCAATACAACATGAGGGAATTGCTGTCTTCTATCTTGAGTTCACAGCAGCCATGGCCTTCTCTCCCTTCCCAGCTGTGCCTGGGGGCAGCTCACAGGGAAGCATAGCTTGGGGTTTAGTAGAAAGTATTTCTCGAACATCTGCTGGCCTTACATTATTGTTCACTTTGCCTCTTCAAGGGAGAATGTCTACTTCCCATGGCTTTGCATACCAACACACAGTTCAACTACCTTGTTGAAGACTTTGAAGACCTTCTGTCTTCATAAAAAGAATGGTTAAAAGGGACAGGCACATCCACTGGAGTCATTGTTATCTGCTGAAATTACTAACTTGGCTTTTATTTATTGGGTTATTTGTCTTATTAAATTGTAGTAGCTTTAAAGAAAGCTGTAATTCCAAAATATTTATTTTCAGTTAATCTGGTGGCAAAAGAAGTGTAAACCACTTGTTGTGAAATGAAAGTATAATAGAAGTATTTGCTGTTCCTCAAAGTATTTCTTTATAGGCTTCAACTCTCATATGTAACTCATAATAACACTTAAATGTCATCCTCTTATATGCACTGAAATTTAGTGGTCTTGGAGACTGGTGTTTCTAATATCATCCTGAAATTAGTAGAAATGCAAACTGTTAAACGTGGGTTTTCCTCTTACTGAAATAGGAGGATTTGTTTAAATAGTTTAAATCTTGCCCTCATTTGCAGTGAAATCTGATAATATTTTGCTGCTCACCCACCCTCCCAGTGGAGTCATCTTGTCAACTAAATTTAATCCAAGGCCTTAAGTGTTTTCAGGCAGTAGTAATGTGTGATAGTCATGTCTACTTCCAGTAATAGGAAGAAGTCGAATGGGGATTGTTTAATGTTGTTTTTCAAATGCTGTGGCTAAGTTCGATTAACTTTTCAAACAAATTTTATTTCCAGAGAGAAAGGGAAGAGAGCACAGATTTTGGTTTAGTTTAGTTAGGAGTTTTGTAAGCCTGTGACTAGATGTCTCTCTAAGATATAAGATATGCCTTAATATATTAAGATATATCTTATTAATAAAGTTCTTAAATTTCTGAAATGTTGCCTCAGTCACAGCGTGAAATCCTCTAGTGTTTTTCTTCCATACATAACTTTGCTTAACTTGCAGTTTTGGTGACATTTAAGGCCTTTTATATTGATTGTTGAAATATTTTGACAAAATGGATCTTTATAAATGGATCCTTTTTGTAAAAGGGAAGTGGGTTTTTTGGTAGATATTTTTCACAGTTGCACAGCTTTTCCACAAATACAATGAGGCCCTGGGTACTAAGTAGCAGATGCACTTGCTTAACCAAAGAACCACTTTTCAGTTTCTAGTAACTTCTCTTGAATTTATTTCAGTTTGATTGATAATGAGTTGTACAAAATACAGGCATGCCTTGTGTTTATTGACAGTAATATGATGGATGAAACAAAAATCCATTCTTATCCAGGGATAAGAATGTCTCTGAGATGTGTGTACAAATAGCTGTCAGTAATAAGATGTTCGTTTTACCTGAGTTGCAGGAGTGCTGATAGATATGGAAGGTTCTTACTTTCATGGGTGTAGGTATTTTACATTGTTGCTAAAAATACATTTCCATGGAAAGTGATTGGAAAGTACTCTGATACATAGTAAGCAAGAAAGTCCTGCTATAGGTTTGCAATAAACAGGCTGCCTGTTAAGACACAAATAGCGTTACTCCTCAGATTCTCAAAATTTACTGCTGCGATTTTACTCATGAAATTTTATATTTAAGTAGTTGAGTGTGGTTGAGTGTGCTGTTTGCACACTTGTAGGTATGTGTTTGAAGGACAGACTCAGGATTAATTTAGTAGGTTGACTCAAGTTCATTAAAATACGGAAACATCCCATTTAGTATTTTAAATTCTGAAAGATCTACACATTAGTTCCAACTAACTGAATAAGAAGAATGTAATGCTTGAATCAAGTATATGTCCTGTGGTTTTATTTCCTTGGCTTTTTTGCTCATGAAAAATCTTTAACAAAACATATTTTTATAATTGTTACTGGCTAGGGTCGAGGATGATGAAAAGCTTGAAGGTGTCACTAAGTATTCCTGCAACATTCTAACCAGACTGAATGTGAACACCATTATACTTAGGAAACTTGCTTATTATATTACTTTTTGTTTAGTTCACAGTTTTGCACTGAATCGTTGTGTTCTTATTGTAGCTTATTGTAGACAGCATTTAAAGAAGATTAGTAGCAAGAAAAAAAAGGCATCTTTAATGTATTTCCAGTTTTCCATTGCACCACTTTGCTCACTGGTCAAGACATTATATTGTCCACATTTGCTATCCCATTTTCTGACACAATCTTTCATATTCCTGTGGTACTCAACATAGTCATTTTAAAGAGTCATATTGTTTGGTTTTAAGTTTTCTTCCTTCTCCCCCTTTGCCTGACCACCTTAGATCCAAGAAGGGTCTCTTAGTAATATTAAAATCATGTTTCAGACACATTTATCTTCCGTAATGGCAAATGAGTAAAATCATCTGAGACAATACGTTGCTATCTTGAAATATTCCTTTCCCAACATGAGGAGAAATCATTTTGTGTAGAGAATTCATATCTGATGTAGTCTTGTTAGTTTGCCCTCCTTTAAAATGGGGCTTCATATTGATGAATATTGAATCATATTGATTGAATGGAGCTTCATTCTTACTGTTTCAGATTCAGCTAAGACTTGCCATGAAGAACCATCCGTAGTACTGTCTTAGTAAGTGTAGCTTAAAGAGCTTGTGCTGCTGGCTGTGCCTGATTGAGGAGCCAATTATATGGTTCAGTAGTGGTACAGTGACAGTATATTGCCAAAAAATAAGAAAAAAAAAAGGGGGGGGGGAAATAAGAGGCAAAACCTCTACCTTCTTAGAATAGGAAATATTCACTGATTGTCACCATGTTTAAGGGAAAAAAAAAATCACAAAACACCACCTTATGAAAGCATGTACTTTGATTATTTGGGTTTTGTGCTTACTAAGTGTCTAATTACCAGGAGAAATAGAAGACCTAGTCCTTGCATATTTAGCAATCTATATTGTTTTCTGAGAGGACTCAGCCTCTTTAAGAGTAGTTTAATTTAGATCAGTCTCGCATTAATGCCAAAATAATCAAACTGGTCATTTTGACTTCTGGTCACTGTAAAGTGTCTATTTGCAGTTATATTTCCTCATCTGCAAAAACAAACTGCAGCTCAATGGGATAAGCTTTTAGTAGATGGCTTGTGGGGTTTGTAAAAAAAAAAAACACCAAAAAAACCAAATGGCAACAAATCAAACCAAAAGCTCCCTTTTCTGCAGTTTTCTACAGTTTTCTTAGGAAAGATTATCTTTTCCATAATGCTTATAGGCAAGAAGTTGATGGCTTTTAGCTCTACTGTAAACACTAATTACAGAAGTAGGCATTTACTAAATGTATTTAGTACATGTGGTGTTCAATTTGAACAAAAAAAATTTAGAGTTCAGAAGGGAATGCTCATAGTAATCCAGGACAATGGATTGTCTCATTGTCTCTCATGGTATTGTGAAATTCAACTGTGGTGGATTTTTATAATTCTCTTCTAGCAAAAAAGGCTGGTGCTGACTGTTTCTGGCACTTGAGTCTGAGTTAGCCCTTCCACCCCTTACCATACGTTAGCTGAACGTTATTGTGCTGTGGCAGACGTTACTTTGCTGGTGCAGACAACTGGCATCTCTTTAATCCATGGATGCATCAACTTTTTTAACTCTATATTGACTTGTATTTCAAAGGGTTTCTTCTTACTATTATTTTTTACATTTTTTGCTCAAGCAAACTTTGGCAATTCCCTTCTTATTTCTACAAAACTAGGGTTGCCTAAAACTATTACAAATGTTAGGGAGGCTTGATCTTTAACCTAGTACCATATATCTGTCATTAAAGTACCTTAGTGCTTTATGGTAAAATTTTCAAAAATTGCTTTTAAGTGATTGGAGATAAAAAGAAAAAACTGAATTAAAAAAGCAGCAATGTAGAAACTTATTTTGGTGTTTTGAAACCAGAAACAATGCCAGAAGTGATGAGCATATTCAAGGATTCTACATTGGGCTTTTAAATGTATATATTGATATGCAGCATTATATAAATATGAGCAGTCTCTGTCTTATTCAGACTTCAATTGAAATTTTTTGCTATCTTTTTTTTAATGATATCTGAGAAAAAACTTGTGCCTGTGGATAGTGAAAACAAGCAACATTTTCTAGAATTTATGTTTACTTGTTAACAGTTTGAGGAAGAGCCAAGCAAATACTGGTCAGGTGACTACAACTGTTTTGTTGTTAGTTCGTATAAAGTAGGGAAAAGCTGCTAGGAATGCACTGCTGAGAGATTACTGTTCCTGGAAGTATTTGCACACATCCTCTAAAGAGCTGCCAAAATTAACAGGTCATGAAATGTGTCTTCGGTTCCCCAAACTCCTAATCTCTTCCACACCTTATCTGATATATTATTTTGAATATGGTTTAGTACATGAGAGTATTGCTTCACCCCCTTTTGGGAATGAATTCCAGGGGCCTGAAGGGCATGCTTTGAATGTCCATACTGAAAAAGTATGTCCAACTCAGGAAGGAACTGCTAATTGGAAGCAATTGCATCCTTGATCTGCTCTGCATATGGTTGGACTTGGACAAATATAATTCACATTGCATTGGGTTAGAGATTATTTTTTTACTATAAGTACTGTGTGGTGACACCAAAGCCTTCTTTGATTGAGAAGCTGACCACTTTCTGTTGGTCTCAACCTAAAACAGGAGCTTTTTCAACAAGTGTCAGTAAAAACTATTTTTGTGTTGCTCATAACTTAATGCCTCTGTAGATCAATGTTTTTAGTTTCTGTCATCTGTCATCACTGGTATATTCTGCAAGCATACAATTTGTTCAGATTGTTGCCTTTAAAAAACAGATTTTCTGTGCTTTGGTGATGGTTGGAAACCAACTTTTTATACCAATAGTTAGGTGCTTACCTATACATATATATGCTAGCTAGTGTTTGATGTTAGAACACTAGGGAAGGTTGGTTTGGAAGGCTGGGGTTTTTTTTCATCCTTTGGTAAATTTCACCAAACCAAATCCAAAGAAACTTTTGACACTGAATCCTAAGACTGGCTACACCCTACTCAAACCTAACATCCAACCTCTTGCATTACAGAGCACGAGTTATTCTAAAACATGCATTCCTAGCCAGGCCCTGTGGGGATTTGGAGCAATAACTTCTATTATCTGTTGACACAAATTTTTTTGTAAATGTACATGTGATACATCATCAGAACGGAACTAATGTTATCATAATTGGGTTTGGTACAGTACTTAGTTTTGCATGTATAATATTGAAAATATAACCCCTTTGTCCACCAGTGACAGACTAAAATGCGTAAGTTAAAATTGAGAAATACTTGTGTAGACTGCAGAGGTATTTAAAGTAAATGATTTTTATTGTATGCACCAGTGCTCATCCTAATAAAAATTTTTTTGTAGCAGATTTTAAAAGCTTTTAACTTAACACTGAAGCCACATTGCAGTCCTTTGTAAGCACAGAATGGTTATTATATTTTGAAATAAAATGCCGTTAATGTAAAGAAAACTGAGTTTGATTTGAATGGTGGGCTCTTTGGAATCAGCCACAAGGGCCACTGTTATCTGGTGAAATAACAGGTTTGCTGGGGTTGAATCTGCAGTCCCTGTGTATAACTTATGTCACTGAGAGAAGCCATACTTCCGTGTTTGTTTTTTTTTTTCCTGTTTTCTGTGGAAATAAGGAAGGACATGTACTTCAGGAGTAACTACGGTTCAGCTGGCACCTGGCAGTTTGCTGCACTCCCTGCAGTAACACAGCCACACATCCAGACCCTACAAAAGCTTACATTCGGCAGCTGTGGACAATTCAAGTTACTTTCATTATGGTTTACTCTCTGAACTGGAAATGGTTGTTTAGTGCCTAAGCAGAATTTTACATTATTCTATTGACTGTAAAGCAAAAGTGGTCAAATTCTCCTTGCATGACTGCTCACATCTTTTGAAACGAGATACATCTGATGTTCCAGTTTTCATCCCTCTCAGTGTTCTGTGACCAGCTTGTTCCCTTGAAGTAATTCATATAGGAGAGTCAGTTTTAGCTAGTATCTCTTTAGTTTTCTGAACGGATCAGACGTTGTTTAGTTTAGTGCATACAAGGTTGGGGGGGTTAGCAGTTGATATTAGTAACATTTTTTTTCTAGTTAGGGTGAGTTTTCCAGATGCTCAGAATTCCTTTTAAGTTAGAACCAAGACAAATGCATCTGCAGTCAGGCAACTCAAAGCACATGCCGTTCTGTGAGAACTCCTTAGCTCATATTTTTTTTAGTTATTTTAATGTGGAGATAATAGTGCTTCTATTAAGAGAAAATAAGTTCTGTTCAATACTCATCACAGATAAAGTTTTATAATGATGTAACACCAACCTCTGCTCAGTGTCAACTGTTTCTTCAAAACAGTTCAGAAGGTACATGTCCAATATAGTTAATATTTTCTGGTTGGGAGGGTAAAGAATATGAAAGAGTTATCAGGCAGATATATACACAAAAAATGTGCTCATTACTGATGTATTTTTGAACTTGACCAAAGATACAATTTAAAAGATTTCAGGCTTTTGGCTTTTGCAATTTATAAAATTGCAATTGGCATTTTGAGAAAAAATAAACCCTAGACATTCCAATACCCCTAGTTGACATAAATCCAAACACATAGTGAATGATAACAAAGTTGAAAGCTGTTCAGAAAAGCACTGAAATTATATCTGTCTTACGATGTGTATAAAATTCCATGCTGCAACTGAATTATAGTATGCAATCATATCAAATATAAGAGTAATTCAGCTTCCATACCTTTGACTGAAGGATTTTTATACCAGCTGATGTAGCTTTGTGTCAAACAATTAACAGCTTTCTTCTACTGTCTCAAATCAGAAGTTACTCTGTGCTAACTACTTTTCGCAAGGAAGCTGATATTTCACATCAGTACAAGTAGTCCCTTTTTTTTTTTCTTCTTTTTTATATGAGGTAACCCATGTTATTACAGTATTAATGCTGCTGTGATGGGCTCCCTGTGCTGTGATGGGCCTGACAACTTCTTTGAAGTTCCCTGAAGTCCTGAGCATGCATGCTTGCAGATGTTTTGGTCAATTTGGTAGGTGCATGATGGTCTAAGGAAGAGGTAAGA